ATCAGTGGTTAAGTTGTATTTACAACACTGTTCCAGAACACTTCAACCCAAAATATTCAGATGTGTGCAGCACATTTTATGGAGGACTGTTTACTGATCCTGGGAGAGTAGACTACAATGCCGGCTGTTTTGACTCACAGCCTGCAAGTACGTTTTTTTATATTTAAAGAGTTATTATATTTTATATTTTTTATATTTAAAGTGAGTTTTTTGGGCAGTGTAGAGTAGGGCTTGTTGTTTGTCATTTCTCCGATCACAAATGCAGACATGGTTTTATGTTTACGCGGCGTGATGCAACGCAAAGCGTAAAAAGACAGTATAAGTCATTATAATCCATAATTATGTCCCCACTGGATGCAACGAATCCCTCGTTTATAATGGGTTTTCATGTCTTTGAATCATCGCTCCGGCCTGACGGCATCACAATATGGTAAGGGGCGTAACATTTCTGTCACATGCTTGAGGTATTCGGCCAATCACAATGCACTGGATAGCTGGCCAATCACAGCACACCTTGCTTTTCAGACTGATGAGCTTTGTAAAAATCGAAGCGTTTCAGAAAGGCGGGGCATAGAGGAGAAACAATAATGTACAGTATGTGGAAAATAATGTGTTTTTTTAACCTTAAACCGCATAAACGCATTTCATTACACCAAAATACACAAAATAATGTTATTTTTAGCAACATCATATGACCCCTTCAAGGTGAACTAATGAATGCGTTTGAGAGAAAATATGATCCAATTTGTAATTAAAAAAATAAAAATAAAAATATCTTAGAATCAAATACACCAGATTTTAGTAGTTAACAGTGAAAGGTGTAGTTTTTTTTAGGTTAAAATACTTTCTACTCATATATAGGTGTAATATTGCTCGTGCAAACCACGAATGTAAGTTTATGATAAATGCGCATAACCTATGTTTGTTATAATTTTCTTGAAATGGATATCATGTTTATTTATAAATGTATATATATATTTGTTACATTTTGTTTATTTTTTATGTATATTTTAATAATTATTTTTGTGGAGAGGTTAAAGTAGGGGAAGATAAGTATTATTTTGCAGTTGTATTAAAATTTTTTTAATGCTTTGGAAAAGATAAAAAAATAAACACATGAAAGAATACTTTCTACTATCCCTAGCTAAATATTCAGATATGTAAGCAATTAGGTTGATTTCCCTCAAAAATGCTTATACTGATAAAAAGTTCAAAAATAAAATAAATAAAATTAAATTCCTTATACAGGCACTCTCCTATGAAACATGTGTCAGTCTGACACAGTCATTCTAGCTCAACCAATGGCATGCGTTTGGGGTGTGACTATCTGTTAGTCCAACCAATGGAAGATGATAGTGGTGTTTAAAAAAACAGAAAAAAAAAATAAAAATCCAACCCTTTCCGGAGTGCTAACAAATATTGACAGATTTTGCTCAGTTGGATCAATGATCAGTAATTCCCTTGAAATGATCAGTTTGGTTAATAGATGCCTAGAAAAACTTGATATTCCAGGAATGTACATTTCTTGCCTGGTGCGCTATTGCTCTCAGCTCTCCATGCAGTCTATTAGAGACCAAGGGTAAGTTATACTGTCCAGTGAAATAGAATCATGGACAAATAGAATCAGGTGGGAAAGAAAACTAAAATACCATTAGCCCTAATTTGCCCCCATCAGACCTGCATTCTGTCTCTATCCACCGTATCATCTATCTCTTCTCTTTCTTTCACAGGCCTCGTGTGCACCTGCGTCTGGTCAATACCCCCCAGCCATTACTTGATTTATCATCATTATTGTCTTTTCATACCTGCGGTTTATTTGATGAAGCTTTTGCACGCCAGGCTTCCAGCTGCTATAATGGCTAACTCCTTCATCGGGACTGTAAATATGTTATATGAAAAAGAAGAGGATATAAAGTGAATGAGAAGGCGGGCAGGGGGAGGGGATAAAGAGGAAAACATCAATCTGTTTAAACCTTTCATGTGACATAAGCATAATTTTACTTCTTAAACTGTTTCAGTTAGTTGCCAAGCAACATTTCTAATACATGTTTGAAATTTTACATCTATTATTTATAGATGTAAAATTCAGCTTTTATTTCAATAAACAAAAATGTTTTAATAGTTTCACGATAATATCCCTGCATAAGAGTCATTTGTTTGTGAATTATACTCCACTAGTTATGCTTTGTTTTGATTCACTTTTGATTTGACTCATACAGTTCATTTTCTTGTGAATCAGACTACATTGGATGTGCAGTGTGTTTTTGACTTGCTTAAGAGATTTGGTGTATCAGACCAAACTGGCTGTACAGTATTTGTTTGAATCACTTTCAAGATTTGGCTTTTAAGTGTCTTTTTTTGTTGTTGTTGATAAAGTTGAACTTGGTCACACTACAGGTGCATCTCACTAAATTAGAATGTCGTGGAAAAGTTCATTTATTGATTCACTTGAAAGATTTGTTCATAAGAGTAATTTGTTCATGAATAATTTGTTCACATTGTGTGCTGTATGTTTTTGATTCCCATAAGAGTCGGCATGTAGAAGTCTTTTTGTTTTTATCTCATCACGTTTTTTATTTGGCACTGCAGATTCAGCAATGCTGGAAAGCCAGATTTGAACATGCACCATTGAAAACACCCTAGCAACAACATAAAAACAAACTAGAAACCATTCAGAACATCTTAGCAGTGACATTATGCACTGGCAGCCACTCACTACACTCTAGCAGTGTGGTGGTGATTTTTGCACAGGTTTTGCATGCAAGATAGCGGGCCTCTCTGCAGAAATTTAGTGTTGGGCAGAATTTTATATAAACCTTTAATAAAACCTATATTGTATGTCCCTCGTCACAGCTCATAAATGACAAAGTGACATTATAAAAGTCTGTTGTCCTTGTATGTGTGCTTGATCCCACACTATATTCATTAATGCAATTGTAACATTGTATCAAGGACACTATTTCTGCAGACAGTGTGTGTGTGGATGTCCTCTCTTTATGAGCAGAGTCAGTATCGTAGTCTCAGAACTTTATTATTAGTTCTGTGTTTGATGTGTCAGCTGTACATTGCAATATCGCTGGATGACTGTCATAAAGCTATAACCCATTATATTTAATATATCATTTGTTCTTGCTGGTGAATGCAGTGTCGATCTGTCATAAAGTACAGATAGAGTTAGCCAAGATAGGAAAAACAAAAATGAGATCTCTTCGATATCTCAATTGTTTTGCCTAGACTGCATTGAGATTAGTTGTAAAGAAAAGTGGGATTTTCTGCTTGTTTATTGTAATGTCCACGATACTTGTATTGCGTTTTAAGTGTCAGTTTTTCGAAATTGAGATTTATACATCAATTGAAAATAAGCTTTCCATTGATGTATGGTTTGTTAGGACAGGACAATATTTGGCTGAGATACAACTATTTGAAAATCTGGAATCTGAGGGTGCAAAAAAAATCAAAATATTGACAAAATCGCCTTTAAAGTTGTCCAAATGAAGTTCTTAGCAATGCATATTACTAATCAAAAATGAAGTTTTGATATATTTACGGTAGGAAATTTGCAAAATATCTTCATGGAACATGATCTTTACTTAATATCCTAATGATTTTTGGCATAAAAAAAATCGATAATTTTGACCCACTCAATGTACTTTTGGCTATTGCTACAAATATACCCCAGCGACTGGTTTTGTGGTCCAGGGTCATAAATTTGATTTTTGGGACTACAACCAAGTAAAAAGCCTCAATTTGACTATGGTTTGCAGTTTTTCATTGGATTACTGTGCAAATATTACATCCCCAATAATATTCATGAGTCAAGCTGATGAGTTTTATGTGTCCATCCACTTTCCCTCTAATGTCCCTGATCACAGACTGCTTTAATTTATTGGAAAGGATGTGTAAATCTGCAATGACACACACAAACCCTCATATAAACTTGCGCTTTTGCTCCTGTCGTGTGCAAGTTACATCAAAATGTCACCTGTTAAAAACAAGTTAAAGTTTCATGCAAATTATATGCTAATGCCGATCTCCCCTTCCCTCATACCAGTGTGTAATATGTCCACGGCAGACACTATGTAAATATTTTCTTTTATTTTTGATGCGTGTCATAATGGCGGGGAGACTAATTGAGTTTACTCGAAGTGTCGCCTGGTTTCATCCTCAGACTGTCAACAGTGCACTGGGAGTGTGACAAGGGAAAGTGGATCTCGTACGCTAATGACATGTTGCACGCCAGCGAGTAACGCATTCGCACGGCGCCAATCTAACAGTTAAAAACCCGCGACCCAAGCACGCTAGGCTGCATTTACGCTTACAGGGCTTACGGTCTGTAAGCATATTGAATGATGGGGTTTCAGTATTTTTGAAACCACAGCCATAAAATTGAAAAAAAGGAGAATTTGTCCTGGCCTCTCCTGAAACATAACAAATAAAGAAGTATACAAAGAAAAAAAAACATTTGTACTGATAAATGAAAATGTAAATCTGAAAAATAAATAAGTAAAATAAAAAAATCTGTACAGGCAAACAGGCAAACATGGAAAGAGTTGAAAGGTTGAATTTTTTTAAATTTGTTTATTAGCTCAATTACTTGGCTTATAATCAAATGAAATAATTGTGTTGTATTTTTTTTATTTTATTTTTAATGCAAGCTAAACACTATGTATTTCTGATGAAAAAAAATGGAACAAATGCATACATTTAATTAAGTTGACAAAACAGCTTCAATTATTTCAGCCTGATTTGCTTAAGTCATAATTCATTAAACATATTAAGCAGTATTAAATACATTAAATAAACTTTAAATAATTTAAAGATCATGACTTCAAATGGTTCTTACTTTGTAATGTTGTGAATAGGGATATGCCGGTATCAAATTTTCATGTTGCGATTAATTGCTAATGCTTTTATCACGGTATACGGTGTTATCACGGTAGTGATGTGTTCGATACATCGATACGACGATGCATCGTCACAGAGATTTGACGATATGAGTATCAATACAGCTGTCCCTGTATCGATATTGTGGCACGTGTGCAGCAGTGGACCGCGCTTAATTTAAATACAAGACTGATAGGGCAAAGTCAATCGGAGAGCCACTTTTACCGCGAAGTATCAAAAGTTACATCCAGTCATAAATAGCATGTATTCTTATCAATCTGTCATATGCAATGCAATGCAATACAAAAGGGGCTATCATTCTTTATCATTTACCAGTCAAATTTGTAACTGAGATGATATTATTTAAAAAAAAGCAGGATTACCTTAATGCTGGAAAGACCTTAAGTTATTTTATTTTTTTATACTAGCCCATCATGTATCTAACCATCCAAGTGCATATTTCCATCTTGTAATGCCGCTGTTTTAGGTATTTTTAAAAAAAATATATAAATTATTTGTAATAGAGCAGGCACTGTCTGACCGTGTCTACACCGGACGCGACAGTTGTTGTGCCGCACCCTGCTGCGCTAAAAGTCTGTCTACACTTGACGCGACAAAGCGAACCACAAAGTAAAGCTTGGCGAGCTGCGCAATGAGTAACACTGTGCTAGGTGATATCGCGTTCATAATCGAATGCGATTAATCTGCGATTATGAACGTGATATTGCCTGGCTTTACTGACGAGATGCGCTTGACAATCGCATGCGATTAATTGCACAGCCCCGCATTAGTTTAGAACTCTTCTCATTTTTATTTTTATTTTTTTAAACGTAGAGAGTGTTTTGATTTGTGCAATGATAACCTACCAGCAATGTAAATATGATTTAAAAAAATATGTTAGAATGAGTACATTACAATATAAATTGATTAGAACGAGTACATTATTATTTATGGGCTTAAAAAAAAGATGCAAACAATCTGTGAAATTCAGTGCAGTCCCATATCGTGATGCGTATCGTATCATGACTTTGCTGGTGATACACAGCCCTAGTTGTGAATAAGTTTTATATAGAACCCGACCGATATATCGTTTTGCCGATATTATCGGCCGATATGAGCCTGTCCAGTCCGCTGCTTCAAATTATCCGCCTGCCTCCCACCCGCGCCTATATTTGATTGTCACATTACAATGATTCTAGGCATGGGCCGGTATGAGATTTTGACGGTATGATAACCTTAAGCAAAAATATCACGGTTTCACAGTATCACGGTATTGTTGTTACAGCTCTGAAATGTGTTATTTTAAAATGACTGGGTAAAAAAAACAAACTTTTTTCCGCTGAACACAATATATATTTGTTTTTGAGCAGCATACAGAATATTAGGAACAGTAGAATTTGTTTATTTTTTCTTTGATTTGTTTCCTAAAAAAGAAAAATAAAGACTGACATTTAACCTAAATCTGTAATTACAGTTATTTAATTTTAGTTATATAATTCATATACATATCATTTATATAATTTAACGCAGTTTGTGCAAGTCCAGAACAGAGACGAGTTGCTTGCAATAAGACAAAAAAACGGCCGGTTGCCGATCGCGTAAGTTCCAGGGGCAGCTCCTTAAGTTCGGCCGTCATACACACACGTGACTGACCGCTGGCTCGCACCAACAGGAGGAGGAGGGTCGTGTTAAGGCCGAAGTATACTTCGGCAGTCCTCGTCTGCGCACCGTCCGCATTACGTCATTTTCGTCATGAGGAGGGCTCGTGGACAGCCGCGCACCCCGTCCGCGTGCAGGCAATTTTTTGAGACCGCGCGGACGGTCCGCGTACAACAGCGCATGCACAAGGTGAAAGTTGAGACAGAGCACAAGTCAAGTAGGTGGTACTGCACCTGTGTCGAGCTCGTCCGTCTGCACTCATCCGCGGTTAAGTATACTTTGAAAGCTGTGCGGACGCGGCTGTGCACGAGATGGAACGGAACGCTGAAAGTGAAGTATACCCGGGCCTTCAGGCAGACTGGATAAATCTGAAAATGACACCCTTGCATTTTCGTGTGGACAGCCAATCCGTATATTTTGTGAAACGATGATGTCATCAGCTCACGTCTCGCCCCTAGTCAGACACCGCTACATCATGTAACATCAACAAAAACATGAACAAACACAGAACGATTGTCTTTTTATTAACTAGCATTAACAGATTAATAAATATATTGTTCCATGTTCGTTTGTATACCGTGCGCAAGGTTGCGCGCAAGGATAGTCCAAGTCTTCTCCGTTTTTAATGTATCTCTGTGGCAGAATTACAGCGCCACATACGCCACATACT